CCTCCAAACCGGCCAGACGGAGCCCCTCAGAGAGGGTCTTGGGGAGGGGTGACAGACTCTCACGCAGTAGATACCAAAGGGCTGGCGGATTGTTCATCTCTCTCTCTCTCTCTCTCTCTCTTATTATTATTATTAGTATTATTATTATTATTATCATTATTAGTATTATTATTATTATTCGTCTTCTTCTTCATCTCGCGCTGGCCTTCAGCTGATCTTCCAGAAGGGTTTGCGGTGAGTGCAGCACTACAGATTCCCAAAATCAAGATGCCTTAGAATCGTGGCCGAGGAGGCCGACCCTCTGAGACGGGGAGGCGGGGGGTGAGCTCTGGTGGGCGTGGGGGTGGATGGGGTCGTCACGCCTAAGTACTGGCCCCCTCTTGGGGTTGCGTGCCCCTCGGGGCCCAAGTCGGCCAGTGCAGCTTGCGCTGTGGGCCTTAGGATGGTGTGCATCGTAAGGTGTGTGGTTTCTATGGGGCCCTCCCATTGCACAGTTCAGTTTTCATCGGGCCGATGCTTGTAACCAGGATAGGGACTCTATGAGGTTCTGCTCTGCTCTGCTCCTCCTCCGCTTCTTCCCCCGCCCTGCCCCTCGCGGCTCCCGATTGTACCGCCATGGTGATTGACAGCATCGCTTCGGTGCAGACGGAGGAGCGTGTGCGGCCGTCCAACTTGGCACAGCGCAAATTCGCCCGTCGGCATCATATCCGACGCAGTGTTACGCAGTTGCAATGGGACTTTTCATGGGCATAACGGCGAGTCAAGCGGAGCTCTCCTCCTGTTCCTCCTCAATCGCGTCGCGGCAACACTCACCACGGGCAGTCGTTCGCCAGCTTGTGTATGCATTCATGTATGCTTGTGTGCATGCACGTGGGTATGGATGTATGCACGTATGGGTTTGTATGCGTATACGTATATTTGTATGTGTGTGGGCGGTTGTAGGTGTTCATGTTTGTATGCATGTATGCATGTGTGCCTTTGTGTATGTAGGAATGTACGTGTGTATACATATAACGGCGCACCGGGTCCGGGAGCCCGGGGCCGGGACCCCGACCACAAATGTGGGCCCCGGGGGGCCCGGAGGCTCGTCGGACCGCCGGACGCTGTCCAAGATCGTTCGCAGGCGGCTTCGGAACGCGCTCCGATGGCTCCAGATGCCTTCCAAGACGCCTGTCATGACACCAAGAAGGTCCCAGAAGCCTCCAAGACGCTCCGAGAGGCAGCCCAAGAGAGGCCCAAGAAGCAAAAATCGTGCCATTCCTATGGGAAAACGTATATTTTTTCGCATGTTCGCACCTTGGGCTTTCATCGCGTCCAAGACGGCCCAAGAGGCGCCCAAGACGCTCTACGAGGCCTCCGGGAGCGCTCCAAGGCTGCGCACGAGTGGCCCAGGACGGCCCCAAGACGGCCCAAGAGAGCCCCAAGACGAGTTCGAGAGGGGTCCCAGACGGAGAAAGCCAACCTCGAATTCCGAGCTTCCGGCCCAAGAGGCTCCAGGAGGCGCCAAAATGCCGCCAAGAGGCGCCAAAAGGCTCCCAAAAGCACCCCAAGACGTTCCGAGAGGCACCCCAAGAGAGGTCCAAGAAACAAAAATCGTGCCATTCCTATGGGAAAACGTATATTTTTCGCATGTTCGCATCTTGGGCTTTCACCGCGTCCAAGACGGCCCAAGAGGCCTCCAAGACGGCCTAGGAGGCCTCCGGGAGCGCTCCAAGGCTGCGCACGAGTGGCTCAGGACGGCCCCAAGACGGCCCAAGAGAACCCCAAGACGACTTCGAGAGGGGTCCCAGAAGGAGAAAGCCACTCTCGAATTCCGAGCTTCCGGCCCAACACATCCCAGGAGGCGCCAAAACGCCGCCCAGAGGCGCCAAAAGGCTTCCAAAATCAGCCCAAGACGTTCCGAGAGGCACCCCAAGAGAGGTCCAAGAAGCAAAATGGTCCCATTCCTATGGGAAAACGTATACTTTTCGCATGGTCGCCTGTTGGGCTTTCACCGCGTCCAACACGTCCGAAGAGGCTCCCAAGACGGCCTAGGTGGCCCCCAAGAGAGTTCCAAGACGGTTCACGAGGCGCCCAGGACGGCAAAATTGGATTCCAAAATGGCCTAAGAGAGCCCCAAGGCGTGCCCGAGAGGGGTCCCAGAGGGAGAAGGCCCAAGAGGCCCCCAATAGGGCCCCGAGACGGCCCGAGAGAGCCCAGAGACGGCCCCAGAGCCGCCCAAGACGGCGCAAGAGGGTCCCAAGAAGGCCCCAGGAGGGGCCCACGAGAGGGAACGCGAACTGAAAACTCAAGCTCTCCGCCCCAAGATGCCCCCAAGCGGCCCCAAGATGCCCCCAGGAAGCCCCCAAGAGGCCCCAAGAGGCCCCCAGAAGGCCCCAAGAGGCCCCCAAGAAGCCCAAAAGAGGCTCCAAGAGGCCCCAAGACGGCACCCAAAAGGCTTCAAAACTCTTTCTAAGAGGCCCCCGAAGACATGCCAAGAAGGTCCCATGACGACTTCAAGAAGCAGTCCAGGATGCTCCGTGGAGGCCCCAAGAAGCTAGCTAGAACTTGAGCGCGCGCGAAGCGCGCGCGCGATGGTTCTAGTATGTATGTATGTCTGTATGTATGTATGAATGTTTGCATGTATGATCGGGTGTGTGGATGCATGCATGTCGGTATGTATGTACGAGTGGATGTAGATATGCATACATGTACACATGTATGCATGTATGTATGTGTGTATGCGTGTGCGTGTATGTATGTGTGTATGTATATATGTATGCGTGTGTGCATGTGTGTGTATAAGCATGTACGCGTGGATTAGTGTATGCTCGTATGCATGTACATATGAATGAGTGTATGTATGCAAGTGCATGCGCATGCATGTATGGATGCATGGATGTATGTATGTGTGTATGTACGTGTGCACTGTGTGTATGGATTCGTCTATGTATGCGTGCATGTATGTATGCATGCATGTGTGTATGGATGCATGCATGCATGCATGCGTAGATGGATGGATGTTTGTATGTATGTGGGTCTGCATGCATGTGCGTGTGTGAATGTGTGTGTGTGTATGTATGCGCGCACGCATACACGTATGCATCAACGCATGCATGGCCGGATGCATGTACGCATGTGCGCATGCATGTATGTATGTATGCATGAATGCATGTATGTATGGATTTGTATGTATGCATGTGTATGCATGCATGTAGGCATGTTTGTTTGCATGTAGTCATGTATGTGTACGTATGTATGTACGTATGTATGCGTGCATGTATGCATGTATGTATGTTTTCTTATGTACGTACGTATGTATATAGGTATGTAGGTAGGTCGGTTGGTCGGTTGGAATGTGTCTATGTGCCGATGCAAATATCTATATATATGTATGTGCATGTTTGTGTACGCATGGATGAATGATTGGATGTGTGCATGCAGGCATGCAGGTATGTATGGATGTATGTGTAGGTGTGTATGAATGTGTATATGTATGTATGCATGCATGCATGCATGTATATATGGGTGTGTATGTATATATGTATGTATGTATGTATGTATGTATGTATGTAAGTATGTATGTATGTATGTATGTATGTATGTGCATGTGTGTTTATGCATGCATGCATGTATTTATTTATCCGTAAGGGCTTCGCCCCCAGCCGCCAGCCCCCTCTGTCGGATAATGGGCAATGCAAGAGCGAAAGCATGAGGCCTTGGTGCCGCCGTGCAGCAGCGTCGGAACTTAACGCGAAGAGGATGAGTAATCGGCAAGACAAATTGAGATTCTGATGATATTATTGAATGCGGTGTTGTGTTTCGATGGTTTATGGTTTCGGATACCCGAACAGCGCGTAATTTACGAGGGTGTATGGCTTCGGGCTTGCAAATCTAGGGTAATTTACGCAGGTTTATGGCTTCGGAGACGCGAGTAGTTTGTAATTTGCGAGGGTGTATGGCTTCGGACACGCGATTCTAGTGTAATTTACGAAGGTGTATGGCTTCGGGGTCGCAAGTATTGTGCCATTTACGCAGGTTTATGGTTGCGGAGACGCGAATACCGTGTAATTTTCGAAGGTTTATGGTTTCGGGGATGCGCGCATTGTTTGATTTACGAGCGTTTGTGGCCTCGGGGACGCAAGGATTGCATAATTTGCAGTGGCTGATGGCTTCGGGGGCACGGATATGGCGTATTTTGCGAGGGTTCATGGCTTCGGGGACGCGGATAGCGTATAGTTCACGAGGGTCTATGGCCTCGGGGACGCGAATATTGTATGATTTACGTGGGTTAATGGCCTCGGGGAGGCGAATGTCATGTATATTTATGTCCCACGCCCCCCCCCCCAGGAATTCAGAGCACCCGATTCGGGCGTGGTAATTTGGTTCCTTCTCTGCTCCCCCCCCCTCGCGCGGTCCATCAACCAGGAACAGTAAGCAGCAAGAAGCAGAACTGTAACAGTGAAAACTGGAAATTGGAACTGGTGCAGGGAACAGCAAACCTCCAGCCTACAGCCTGGTGGCCCAACAAGGGGGCCAGCGGATTTATGTATGTATGTCTGTGTATGTGTGTATGTATGTATATGTTGTATGTATGTATGTTTGTATGTGTGAATGTGTCAATGTATGCATGTATGCATGCATGCATGTATGTATGCATGTATGTGTGTCTGTATGTCTGTATGTCTGTATGCGTGTATTGTCCGTTGGACGAGGCCTCTTGGCCGGGCCCAGGGACCACGGGGGGGCATCAGCGAATAGGGCCTCCAGGATCTCTCCTCCTCCTCCTCCCCCTCCTCCTCCTCCTCCTCCTCTTCTCCTCCGGTCCTCCCGTCCTCCTCCTCCTCCTCCTCCTCCTCCTCCTCCTCCCGTCCTCCTGTCCTCCGGTCCCCCTCCTCCTCCTCCTCCTCCTCCTCCTCCTCCTCCTCCTCCTCCTTCTGCTCCTCCTCCTCCTCCTCCTCCTCCTCCTCCTCCTCCTCTCCGACTTCGATAGAGAAGAGTGCGCCTCTCCTGACCTCAAGGGGGACTTGAAGGCCGCGGAAGAGTTGGCCGAGAAGGCGGCTGTTCAGCTTCAGGTTCTCACGGATCAGTATGCCATTTTCCCTTCGTGGGCCTTTGAGGCGCTTGCGTCGCCACCATGTCTTGAAGATCAGGCTAGCGTCACGCAGCAATATGCTACCTTCGTCTCGTGGGCCTTCGAGGTGCGTGCTTCGCCGCCGTGTCTGGAATATCTAAAAAGCGACACTCTGATTTGCTTTTCCGAAGAAGGTGATGGGGATATTAATATCAGTGCACAGGACATACGGAATATAGCACGCCACATCAATTGGGTTGACTTTTCGTTTGACTTGGTGGTGGAGTACGGCATTTGCCCTTTCACTCTTCAAGACCTCGTTCGCTACATGGTTACACGATTGGAGTTTGCCTTGGAAGACTGGACATTGATGAACATTATTCAGCAGCACGGCCCCCGCTTCACTTGGAAAAGCTGGACAGCTGAGCGCGGGCTTCGGACTCTTAGACATCATGTTTTGGGGTTTGTAGCCACTGCCCCCTCCGCTGCTCTGCTTGCTTCCTCCTCTCCTTGTCCTCCTCTCTCCCGCGGCTGTTGCTGTCGCTTGCTCTCTTCTTCTCCTGGCCTCGTGTGGTGCGTGGGTGTGCGTGCGTGTGTTGGTGCGTGTGTCCCCCCTCCTCTCGCCCGTCGTTCCCCCCTCCTTGCGTTCTCTGTTCGTCGTCGTTGCTGGGTGGTGGCTACGTAGGATCAAACAGGGGTGGACTTACGACTCCTCTCCCCAGTGCGCCTGCTGGGACGATGGTGCCCCCGCAGGCCATCGCGGGTCTTCCCCATATGGGTGGTCCTGCTCAGGGCCAGAGGACTCCCCCCAGCGGGGTCGCAGGTTATTGCTCCGCTAATCGCAATTCGCAGATCCTTTACATGTTCCCTGCGCGGTAGCATAGTGCTGCACCCCAGGCGGCACTACCCAGGATCGTAAGCGCTCCAGTCCAGTCCTCCTCCGCTCCTCCTCCTCCTCCTCCTCCTCCTCCTCTTTTTCCTCCTCCTCCTGCTCCTCCTCCTCCACCTCCACCTCCCCCTCCCACCTCCTGCCAGAGGGTGAAGGTGGAGGTCCTCCTCCTCCTCCTCCTCCTCCTCCTCCTCCTTCTGCTCCTCCTCCTCCTCCTCCTCCTCCTCCTTCTCCTCTCCTCTTCCTGCTGCCCCTCCTCCTCCTCCTCCTCCTCCTCCTCCTCCTCCTCCTCCTCCTCCTCCTCCCTCCTCCCTTCCTCCTCCTCCTCCTCCTCCTCCTCTTCCTCGTCCTCCTCCTCCACCTCCCCCTCCCAACTCCTGCCAGAAGGTGGAGGTGGAGGTCCTCCCCCCCCTCCTCCTGCTCCTCGTGCTCCTGCCGTCGTGGCCAGGCCTCCCGAGGCGCTCCCCCGCGGGGGGGCGCCCCTGCACGCGAGGCGCCCGCCGCCGGCTGCCTCCGCCGGCTGTCCCCCTTGGCGCTGCTCGGCTCCGCGGCGGCGGGCTGGGCCCTGCTGCGCGGGACCGCGCAGCCGCTCGACGACGACGACGACGACGACGACGACGACGACCACGACGACGACCACGACGACGACGACGGCGACGACGACGACGACGACGACGACGACAACGATGACCAGGACGACGACGATGACGACCACGACCACGACGACGACGACGGCGGCGGCGGCGGCGACGACGACGACCACGACGACGACCACGGGGGCGGCAGCGACGGCGGCAGCGACGGTGACCACCACCACGACGACCGCGGCGACGACGACGACGACGACGACGACGACGGTGGCTGCCACGGTTTCGACAGGGACGCTGACGTCGTGGTCGCCGTTGTGGTCGCTGTCTTTGTCGTCACCGTTGTAGTCGTGGTCGCGGTCGTGGCGGTCGCTGTCGCAGTAGTGGTCGTCGTCGCGAATGTCATGATTGCCGTGGTGGTGGTGGTCGTGGTCGTCGTGCTCGTCGACGCTGTCGTCGCGTCGCCACTCTGACATTCGTCGTCGCCCGCGGCGGAAGAGGCAGAAGGGTCCTGCTAAAGGAGCCGCGGTTCCCTGCGGTGAGGCTACTTGCATTAGGTCCTCTGATCGGGAGGGCCACCTTCTTCCCCACGATTCTTGCTCTACTGGCCATCCAGGCGGCTATGGATAGCCCTGTATGGCCACGGATAGCCGCAGATAGTCTCGATCACGAAGTGGATAGCCAGGGCAGGTGCCCAGACAAAAATAATCGCCCAACCGTTCGACGTTCGGAGCAGTGGTTCGACGTGGAGAAAGAAAGCAGTGGACCCCAAGCGACAACTCGATCAGTGGGTTCTTGAGGTCCCTTTTATGTTCTTCCTCCGCGTAATTTCATCCGCCCCCCCCAACTCTTCAAGCCCTGCCCTGAGTTTGCAAACGCCTAACATATACGCATGCCGTCGGATGTGCACTAAGACCCCGCGACATCTGCCTTGCGTGCAACTCCGCTCTCCTCCTCCTCCTCCTCCTCCTCCTCCTCCTCCTCCTCCTCTTCCTCCTCCTCCTTCTCGCGCGGTCCCTGCTGCTCGATGCTCCTCCTCTTTCCTCATCCTGTTCCTGCTTATTCGCCTTCTCCTGCTGCTCCTGCTTCTGCCCCCATGTGCTCCTGCTTCTTCTCCTCATCCTGCTTCGCTCCGCCTTCCTCTCTTGGCAGCGGCTCAAGTTGCGACGCCATCGCGTCCTTGACAGGGGGAATCGGACCACGAGGAGCCATGCAACTGTGTGGTACAGCTGGGCCGAGGTATAAGATCGAGGTCGGTTCGGGGAGGGCACCCGAAAGTTCCCCGTGTGTGTTGGATGCTCTTGTGCATCCTAGGGGAGGGGACCCCCGAGTGATCTTCTGGTTTGGGGTGCTTTGGCCGGCGGGGTGTCTCATGCTCTTGAAGGATGCTCTCCTGTCCGAGTTCCGATTGGATTCGAATTCTCGTACGGCAGGTTCGCGTCGTGTCGACCGGCGGCGACCCCAGCACGGACGTTGAAGGTTGAACGCCGCTTGTGGCCCAGAATCGGCCCATCCTTGTAAGATCCAGCCTTTTTGAAAGGGCCGATCGTTAAAATGTGAACGATCCCCGCGGTGTCAGGAACCAGCGCTAGTGTCGACACGACGCAAACATGCCGTAGGTGACAAGCGGTCCGTCGGTGACCCCTTGGCCTCTCCGCCATCCGTCCTCAGCATTCCAGGCAGCCGGCCACTGTGCTCCACCCAAGCAGGTTGGGGGGATTTGAGTAGACCGTTACATGTGCTGCCTCACAAATCAGGAGGGGAACACACACACAGACACAGACACAATTAATCGTCGATCCCTCAGGAAATAGAGGAAACTACGGGAAGTGGGGGGAAGGCGAAAACCCAGAAAATGTAAAAAACAAAAAAAACGGGGAATCCTGGGATCTGTGTGTACTTCCTTGTGTATCCCTGGGCCCCTTAAACAAAGGAGAAGTCCTTGGCCGTGGATGTCGAAATGGCCGTCCCCGCCCTCGTCCCCCTCTCCGCCCCCCGCTCCACACACTGCTGCGCGAAGAGTGGCGCTGTCGCAGTTGTTGTGGTCTTCGTCGGCGCTTTGCTCCTGCAGCCCGCTCCGCACCAGCCCCTCCCCTCTCACGCTCCTCTGCAGAGGAGGATCGGCGTCACCCCAGCATGTTTATGCTACATGTGCGTCGCCCCCCTGGGGGTGACGCGCGCACCGAGAAATCTTATAGCATATGCGTTGTGGCGGGTGCACTCCTGCCACCGCTCGGGAAACGATGTACTACAAGATGGGTATACTGATATGTTCGGGTCGGACGCGCGCCTCCAAGGAGGACATATAGTATTTGTATGCCTCTGCGCGTCCCAAAGGACCCCGAGAATCCCTTGAAACCCTCTGATAGCCTCAAACTCTCTGACACCTCTAAAGGCCCTCTGCCATTCCGGCTCCCACCCGCCATGAGGGCGATGACGACAGCGACCACGACAGCGGCTTTTGCGGCCGCGGCGGCAACGACAACGGTGCAGACGACGACGCTGACGTACGTGACGGCCTTGACTACGACGACGACGGCGGCGGCTTTGACTACGACGACGGCCGACGGCCGCGGCGATGGCGACCGTGGGCGACGACGGCGACAGACGCCCCCGGCGCCGGTCCTTTGGTGAGGACTGGCGCCCAGACCCGGTCGGCGGCGAGCGTCAGCTCGGCCAGCTCGGCTGGAGGACAGGGGGGCGCGCGCGCCAGCCCGGCTTGGAGCGGGCCCGGCGGAGCTCTCCGAGGGTCGAAGTCTCGAGGGTGTCTCGGGCCTCCGGGATCGCGTCGATTCGGGGCACGATGCGCCCCAAGCTGCGGGGCCAGGTTCCTTAGGTGCTTAGGGAGTCACCGAAGATTCCGATTGACTGTGTATCGGCGACTAGTGTCCAATAGCGAGAGCACCGGGCCCAACAGCGTCAAACAGCGCCACGTAGCGTCCAAATAACCCTGTGCCCCGGATAATAATCACTCAGGGATAACAAAGTTCGGGGGTTTAGCGGGGATATCAACGATTTCCCCAGGGAAACTGACGTTAGTTATAAGTTATGATGATGGTGACGATGATGATGATAATGATGGTGATCCTGGGCGCTCGTGTAGACTGACCTTGTAGATCCTGGCACAAGACTGACTCGAGAGATCTCGAGGCTCGTGGCTACAACTTGCCTGCGCAAAAGAAGTCCATGGCGCTTCCGGCCAAGAAACCTCCCTTGCGCACGGTTTCAAACCACTCGCCCATAGAGGCTCGGCACCCGTTGGAGTCTGCACGGGAGGCACTGCGTGCACGCTTGGGCGGCAGCGCTTTCCTCCTCGAAGGTAACGTGTTTCGGCTCGACCGCCGTGGGGTCCTTGCTGGGCTTGGATTTGTGTTTGGCCTTCGGCTTGGCCAAGTCGTTGTCGCTGGCCTCCTTGAGCTTGTTGATCCACTCGTTGCCTCGGGCGCTTTCGTGCTGATGCTCACGGGCGCTTGGCGGCCCTCGCCTCGGATCTCACGCAGGGCGCGCTCGATCCAGCGACCCGCCCACAAGCCGCAGGACCAGGCGTCGGCCTGGATCATCACGTTGCTCCTCGCAGGGCAGGTATCGCCAGGGCCAATGGCGCCGAGGTTGCGGAGGATCTTCGTGGCGGCCTTGGGAGGCCACGTGCGACCCTTACCCACGATGTATGAGGAGGAGGGCGAGGTTCACTTCGTTCGGCAGCTCCCGAGCAAAATGAACCCTACTTCCCCCTTAATCGTGGGTTGTAGGTGTGGGTTCGCACGTGGCCCTTTTGGGCCTGCTTGGCGTTCTCGGGCGGCTGCTTGAGGACGCCGCGGTACTCCACCGCGACGCCCCCGCCGATCCTCGAGACCTTGGCGCGCGTTGCTACAAGTGCCCCTGCCCAGGGCGCCTCCAGGATTCGCTCCAAAACGGAGCGAAAAACTGGAGGCACCTTGGGGCAGGGGCAATTGTAACAACCGCTGGCCTGGAGGTAGGTGTAGTGCGCGGGCGCCTCGGAGTGCACGCAGATCAGGACGTGCTGGGCCTCGTCGACTCTCTCGGCCCAGCGCTTTTGCTCCTCGGGCTGCTGGGCGGCGGGTTCGTCCTCGCCCTGGCCCTCTCGAGCCCAGGCAACGGCCACCGTGGGCTTGACCACCAGAAAGGTCTCGGGGACGCCCACGCGCTCCTCGATCTCGCCCAGCAGCGCGCGCACTGTGCCCAGCTCGAGGGGTTCACCCATGACGATGTGCTCGCAGTTCATGATCGCGCACTCCTTTGCGAGCTTGGTGCGGCGAGCCTGTCTGGTCTGGCGCCAGTCGAGCTTGTGCGGCGTGGGGAACTTGTAGTCCTGCTCGATCGTGACCTGTGTCGCTCGGGATTCAAAGGCACTCGATAGTTTCCGCCTGCTTCCGTTTCGTGTCGTTTCCGCCTGTTTCCGCCAGTTTTCCGCCAATTTCTTCCGCTTCCGCCGTCGCTTCCAATGTTTTCGCTAGCTGCCGCTTGCTTTCGCCGCCTCAGCCAGAAGCAGGCGGAAGCTAGTGCTTGTGAGCCTTCTAGCCTCGCTGCTCTCGATCTGGAAGATCGCCGCGGTCTCCACCTTCGAGGACGCGCAGGCGGCGCGCGCCCTCGGCGCCCACGACTCGCCCGACGTCCTTCACTCTGCCGCGCCTGCCCTCGCGGACCCCCCCCCTCGGCGACGCGCGCCACCTTGCCGTGCCACGGGGGTGTCCTCGCAAGCCTCGAGCCCTGTTTTCTTTTTGCCGTCGCTTGCTTCTTGGCGTCCTTCTCCGCTTGCTTCTTCTGCTTGAACTTCCGGGAGACGCTCCTCTTCGCCTTCGGCGGCCTGCCTGTGAGTTTCGCCTTGGCCGCGCCTCGGCTCAGGTGCTCGAGCGAGGCCTCGCCGCCAGCCGTTGCCTTCTCGCGATGCCACTGGCGCGCGTGCTTGCCCTGGAACTGGCCCGCGAACTAGGGCGCCCACATGTTCTTGCGCTCGCCTGCTCGCATGAGCCTGATCCCCTTCTCGAAAGCGCGCAGGAACTTGATCTCTTTGATGCGCTCTTGTGGCGTTCTACACGCGTCCTTCTGCTCGTCCGTGAGCTCGAGGCCCAGTGCTCGGAGCTCCAGGAGGCAGGGGCTCTCTCCCTGTTCGCAGTCCCTGGGCGAGTCGCCCTAGTCACCTAGGGGGCGTTGGAAACCATTGCCGACACTTTGCGACCATCCTCGTATCCTTTTCTTGTACGTTTCGCAAGCAGTTTTAGGACATATCACACACATCGATAATAACATGTTTTGGGTACTTTTCTGGTACTTTTTATGGGTTTACTAACATGACAGTCTGTAGAGGGCTCAGCGAGTTACGGCCTAGTGGAAGCAGTTCCCGTCGAGGGCGCCCCATTCGGGCACGGCCGACGCGCCATCGGGCCACCTCTGCATGCCCCCTGGCGCTCCTTCGCCAGGCCCTGCCAGATGCCGCGGCCGGGCTCGATGGAGTAGCTCCGCGGTTCCATGCCCGCGACGACCTTGAGCTCGCCCTGTTCTGTCGGCCGGGCCGCGAGCATTTGGTTCGCTTGCGCCCCTCGGAGTGGCACCGCGCCCCTGTTCATCTCGCGGAAGCGGGCGTGGGCCTCGGAGACGCAGTAGAGGCACTCGCAGGGCCCCCATTGGGTCGGGGATTTGTGCTGGCTCTGGGTCTCAGACTTGGCCTCGTGGACCCAGTCCTGCTCCATGGCCAAGTGCATCTCGGCCTTGACCTCTCGGATCGCGGCCTTGAGCTGGCTGCGCTCGCGGGCGCCCGGCCCCTGCGAGAAGCTGGTGACGTCGGGGGCCACGGGCGCGTGGATCACATTCTGGAGCCACGCTTGGAGCGTCGCTGCCTCGGCCCACTGGCTCGAGAGGCAGTCTGCGAGCACGAGGCTCTGGCCGTGCTGCTGCTCGATGGAATCGATGGTCCAGGAAGCGACCAGCTCGCCCGCCCAGGCCCTGAGCTGCC